TGTTCATGATAAGAGGAAGAACCTGTTTTTTACCTTGATATCAAAAACATATCTTTTTATTCATTAATCGATAAACATCAAGATATAAAGATAATTTTTGTTCTTTGAAGTACAACGAAAAACAACAATCGCATACAATCATCTCTCTATTGTTGATTCAAGTAAGAAGAGAAGAGAAAAAAAAAAAGAAGAGACGTGTTCAAATAAAGATTTATTTAAATAGTGGACAGAAAGAAATCAAATATCATCGTCAAGACGAGGTCATTTCATATCGGTCAGATTCATCATGAAACATCTTCAAGGTAAAATAAACACTTACCTTTTTTTCTTAAATTTTCATTTTTTTTTTTTTTTAATTAAAGTTCTATCAATACTATGGTTTATAATAACAATAGTTTCATCAATGACTATATCACCACATGGTGGTTATCTATTTATTGATGAAGGAACAGATTTTTATATTGAATGTATTGGTTATAATCCAAAATGGATTATAGCTAAACGATTAACATCTGATACAGCACGGTAAAGAGGAAATATTATATACAGAAACAATTTTTTTTTTCTGTATTAGAATTTCAACACAATTAATTCAACATAATCGTAAATCTATTTTAACTATTCAAGCAATGGATACATCACTTGCTGGTCCATATTTATGTCAAACAAATCAATCTGTTTCAACAATTATTCTTCAATTAACAAGTTATAAATTTTAGTTGAATATTTTTTATTTTCAAAAAAAAAAAAAAATATTTTGTTGTTTTAAGAACGTAAATTAGATATGATAAAACAAATTCGTTTTATGGGTACAAATACAAATCAAACAGTTGTATATGGTAATGATGCTCGATTGAATTGTTTTGCTCAATATTATAGTGAAAAAGTATAAAAAGAAAAAATAAAGATTCATTCGAAATTAAACTTCTTTTGTTTTTGTATTTTAAGGCAATGGATTCACCTTATTTACCGAAAATTCTTTGGTTTTTTGAACGAAGACAATTGTATAATAATGGTAAATAAATTCGAAAATTTAATTTTTAAGAAAAAAGAAACGATATTTTTTATTTTAGAAGATAAATATATTCTTGGTATAGATAGTTTAATTATTCGAAATTTTAATTATAATGATCAAGGTGTTTATTATTGTCGAGCTTTTATAACATTAAAAACTAAATTTTTAAGTAAAATTTATCCTATTCTTGTACAATTACAAAGTAAAGAATTTTATATTTTTGTTGTTATTTTGAATAAAATTTATTTATTTATTTATTTATAAAAGATTCAACATCTTTTATTAATGAAACATCATTATCATCAATTGAAAATAAACATTGTGATGATTTTAGTGAAACTATTATAACAAATAATACTATATCATACTGTAATATAGATGGTTATATATCAAATTTTACATGTCCAATGAATCAAATTTGGAATGAAGATTATTCACAATGTTCATCATCAATTGGTATGTTCATCCTTTTTTCCCTGTTTTCAGAATATTTCTGAAATCAATCATGATTGTTCTTATGACACATGACCTAAAAGGCATGGTCAAGTATAGAAGTAAAAATTTGTAGCCGTCCTTCCATTCTAAATCGTATGTGAAAAATTCTGTAATGCTTTTGGAGAACTCTGTTCGATTCTACAAGTACTAAATTTTATAATATTTGATCAATCTTTCACTGATATATCTCTTGTTGTATTTCATCTATTTTTCATTTTAAGAATTCTTAACGTAATTAGTTATTATCAACTATGATTCTTCCTTTTTCTTTTTTTCAAAAATTGATTATATCTTTAAATAATTGGTCAAAATGCTTTCACAATATGAATTTATTGTTTAAACAACGCTTTAATATGGCAAATATTTTTTTTTGGTTTTAGAACTTACCTTGTAAAAAAAAAAGATAATTTCTCATAGTAAAATATTGAATGCAGAAATCCATGTACTTGATTTAAATTGCAAAAAAAAATAATCTTATATATATCGTCCTTGCGCAAGTAGAAGAAACACGCCTTTTAGAAGGTCATTGAAACTTATTTAATTTTATTCAAAGAATAACTTGAATGAATCATTTATGATCAAAATAGAAAACATTTTTTCTCGTATTATTTAATAATTCATATTCTTACTGAATTAATATTTCTATTAAATCTAACCCGTCAATCAAAAGAAGACGTTTACGCTTATGAATCATCAAAAATGAAATAATTAATATCACATGAGATTCAGTTTGTGACATACTATGTAAAAACAACTATCTAGAAACATGAAAGAAGTAAAAGAAGATTATATTTAAAGAGAAATAGATGACACCATTTGATTTCAATGATATGTTGTCTACAGATACTATATAATGTTCTAATAAAAACTCTAAACAAGGATTTGGGTTCCTATTGACATTTGACTGTACTATTGAATTTTAAAATATGTCTATTTTATAGAAACTATATATTTTCATTCATTTTCGATGAGATAATGTCTATCTTTCAATCTATTTCTTAGGACTAGTACATGTATGAATTGATATATACATTTATGAAGGAATATTTTCAATTCATCAGCCACTTATTCATCGAAAGTTGAGTTCTCTGAAGAATGAACTTTTCGTCAAAAATTTGTTATTGAACTGTCGAGATTGAAGAACATCTTGCATTGCCTAGAAAACAGTTAATTTTTCTGCTGGAAATCGTTTTTCTTCCCGCAAAAAAAAAAAATTTTTGATAAAATATAGGCTAATCTAGAAAACCGATTTTCTAATAAAGTAGACTATAAAGATCTTTTCTTATAATTGGATTTTATATTTATACATTCAGGAAAATGAAAGTAGTTTTGAATCATGAACACATAAAATACATTAGATATTAAATATCTCGAGAACAACATGTTTTATGTTTGATTAAACTGATTTTGTTCGTTTGCTGATGAAACTTATTATTTGACCTAAATATATTGAATATTTTTGAGGTTCAGTACACATTCTTTTCATTATCAATGAAAACATCACGAAAGATTAATTCAAACTAATATGTTCTATAAATGCTCTTTGACATTAATCGGATCATTTCATTACATAAATATTTTCATATAATTTATGTTATTATTAGTTTTATCTCAATAGAAATTACAGTTTTGTAATCTAAGTTCAAATAGATTTCCTCATTTTTTAATGAGTCTTATAACAAAGTCGGAACTATTTATTCTTCTTTTCCTAAAAATAGTAACAAATATTTCCTGTCAATAAAGATACTGAAGAAAATGAATGTTAAGATGTCTATTTTTTTTTGCACCTGGTGAGGCTCATTAGTATTAATATGTCGTTTTCTTTTTTTTTTGATAAAAATAGATATATGTTCATCTTTGATTTTATTCTTTATAGATCATAATCATGTCTTACAAATTATTCCTAATCTTTCTCATATAAATGTTGAATTGGGTCGTACATATACATTTGTTTGTCGATCAACAAATGATCGATTTGAACCCATATGGACATATGAAAATGGTACTATTATTAGTCCAACTATATCTTCTGAACAACAGTAAAAGCGAAAAGAAAAAAAAAAAAATCTTCAATAATCTTAATTTGACTAATATTTTTTTTTTTGTTTATTTCGTTATTTTAATAGAATAACATCATATATATTAAGTGATACTCATTCACTCTATCTTCGATTATCACCTGTTGTACCGGGTACATATATTTGTCGTTCTCGTTTGGCAGACATACAAATGACAAAAGAGGAAGTAACAATAACAACAACATCAATTACTTTAATAGCACAAAGTGAGCACAAAAAAAAGAAAAAAGAAGAAAAAGTTTTCTTTTTTTGTTTTTTAATAAAATAGAAAAATTGTTTCTTTTTTTTTTCTAAGTGATTGTTGAAACAAATGGAATATCCTTTCAATCATCAGCATTAGCTGAATATCATGTACGAATTAATGCAACATTATTTATTGCTTGTCGTCCTGAATATTTTAATTTTCAATTAAAAACAAATTCATCTTATTTACCTTTAGCTAATCTTATACGTATCAATGGTAAAAACAAAAATATATATTCATAAGAAAAGATTTTTTTTTGTAATTTAAATTAAATAGATAATAATCATTACCTATTAACGGAAATAATTGATGGTTTACTTATTGATCGAATATCAAAAAATGAAAGTGGAATGTATTTATGTATGGGAAAAATTCCATTACCTGAACAATTGATTATATCATATTATCCTATTATGGTTTTTGTTTCTGATCCGTTATGTGAGAATATTTTAATTTATTTAGTTTTATTTTCTATTTTCTTTTTCTTTTCTAGAAAAGAAAAAGAAAACGAGAAGTAATAACACGGCCTTTGCCGTCAAATCATAATAATTTAGATGACTTGGCTTCTTTTTTTTTTCTTCTTTTTTTTGTTTGGTTTATTTCATCTGGTTCTTGTCTTTTCTTGGTTTTTTTTTTCAATAAAAGAAAGAAATGATATGAGTCGATCGATGGAAAAAAAAAAATATATTCTTAAACATGAACAATTGTAATGTATTAACATAAAGGTAGTGTAAGCTTTTCAATAATTGATTAGTCTCTAAAGAAAATCTATTTAAATATTGTTGTTCATAATGATTTCGTTTTCTTTTTGTTTCTCAAATAATTACTCTTCTAATCATCTATATAAATATATAAGTCAATAGAATATCTTATACATGCGTTAAGATTGAAGAATGAAAGTATGAAATAGATATTGCATGTTTTAAATATGAATTCTTCCGGTTAAGCGGATCGTCTTTAACGTCAAATCCGGTTAATTCATATTTTCTAATCAAGCGAAAAAAAAATAGAAAAAAAAGAAAAAAAGAAATTTGTATAGAGACATCAAACTTAGAATGAAACACTTGTTATATATTTGAAAGAGATGTAAATAGAGTATGATTGAGAAATGAAAAGAAAATTATTATCGATCGATTATTTTCTAAATAAGTAAGATGAATAATATAGAGATTTTCTCTTATCTTAAAATTCATCAACAACAATCTGACTTTGCCTTTTTCCTTTCTTTATTCTTTCGGTTGCTGTCTCTTATGTTCGCCTCTCAAGTCTTATAGATTATGATTACTTTTTGTTCGGAAATAGCAATGACGAGAGAAAGTTGCTCTTACCATTTTCTCACTTATTCATTCATCTATTCTATTTTTAACGTTTTGTCATTTATTATATGAAGACTATTTTAGATAGAAAATCAATATCTTTAGAATAAAAAAAAGAAATCAAATACAAATCATACCAATTCTTAATCCTTTTTATTTTTATCTAATACAAACAAATCAAGACGGCCATGTTACATGGACATTGTAAATAAAAAATGTTCTATTTTTATTACTAAAGAAATATATTTTATGTATATTTTTATTTTAGTACGGTGATGGAAATCATAATCTTTATTCATCTCGATGGTCAGTTACCGAACTTAAAGATCGTCAAACAAATATATCTGTATTTGCACGTATATATGAAGAATATACAGATGCTGAACATTTTTTTGATTTTGTTAGAAAAACAGCATCAATTCTCTTTCAAACAAGTAATTTCTATTTCGAAAATTAATTTTTCTATTAAAACCAAAAAAAAAAAAAATTTATCTTTGTTTTCTTGTTTGTAGAAGCTGCTTCATTTATTTTTGCATCTTCTCTTGTTTTACCAGTAATTATGATCAGTGTTGGTAAGATTTTTTTTTTCTTTTTCAAAACATCTTTATCTTTATTAATATTTAATTTTTAGGTATTTCAAATTTAGAAGAATGTCCATTAGATCGTAATATTCCTGTTTTTGTACTTGTTGGTGGAGCTTTAGCTTTATTAAAATTATTACAAGTTCTTTGGAAACAATATTATCGTCATAGTAGTCCATCTGAAGAAGAAACAAATGATACTCAAAATGGATCGGTACAGTAAAAATTTTTAATATTTTAATGGTTATATAAATCGCTTTAATACAAACGATAGAGCGAGAAAAAAAAACATGTTTTGAAGTTCATTAAAATTAGTATCGACTCATTGTTAAGCATATTCTACTAAAGAAAAAAAAAACTTTCCAAAGGGACTGATGATCGCTCTTAGCATATTCTACCCCCGCCTAATATCTGTCAATATTATGAGTACGAAGTAAATTGCCATAAGAAAAATGTTTTTTTTTTTTTTTTTTTTTTTTGTTTATTTATTCATTTTCTTTTGTAATTTATAGTTTTAAGATATTAAATTAATTAAACTTGAAAGAAAACATCGCAAAATATTTGATATAATAATTTTTGAAGAAGATGTATTTTAACTTATGACAATAATAATAAGGCGTAAATCTCATGAGGAATATGCTTTATGTCTTAAGAAAATGTGATAGAAGTATTTAATTGCTTTAATTGTATTACAATATGAGCTTTTCATGATTGAATCTATGTAAAGTGAAAATAGTCAGATGAACATGTACTAAACAACCTTAAGAATGTCAACCAGTCAAAATTTAGAGTTTTTATTGACTTGTCGATGTTAAATAGTTAATTAAAACTATAATATAATTCTGTTTATGTATAATGAATTTTTATCATCAAAATGATAACTGTATCATAGACAATATTCTTGAACAAAAAATAATTTCCTGTCAAGAACTAGCGGAAATTAATTAAAATTATATAGATTTTTAATAAAAAGTAAAGTTTTTCTGAAACTTTTTCCTGAGAAAAATAAAATTCTAATAAAAATTTTGATAAATTAATAAATACTTGACTAAAATTCGATTATTCATGTAAGATGATACACATATTGTTTCTGATCAAAACGAAAATTAAAATTATATTTGCTCTATTACAATAAATATTTCGTTTTGTTTTTGTATTCTATTGATCTTTTAGACATTTATGGATGTTCTTACAACATTATTTCTTATTATTTGGTTTATTTATGGTAATCATTTATTATGGCGTTATCGTTTACCACGTTTTGAACAAACAACTGAAGATCCTGAAAATTGGTGTTCAAAAAATGTTTATTTTTTAGCAATAATTAGTGTCGCTTATACATATGCATTTGTTACAATAATGATTTTAATTGTTCTTATTGTTGTCTTAACTGTTCATCTTCAAAATCGTCGTCGTGCTATCCAAGAAGCTAAAGAAGCTGGATGTACGTGATTGACTATTTCGTTCTCTCTCTTTCTTTTTATTTTATTTCTTTCAATAAATATAATATATATATATATATATCACTGTAAAACATACACACGCACATGCATAAAATCTTAATTTCATCTATCGATTCGTTGAAATTGGTATAATAATAGAAGTACAAATAAAAGATTGTTTAATCTATCATACGTCCAAAAACGATATGATGATGATGATGATGATGAACTAATATGAATACCACGTTCAATATGTATATTTTTTGTTGGTATTGTTGTTGATCGAAGAATTTTTCGACTAGAATTTAATCGTAATGAAAAATATTTTGAATAACGTTGAAGTTTTTTTGTTGTTAACGTCGTAAGAACAACTGATTCTTCTATACGAAAAAAAAAAAACAATTATAAACATAATCCTGGATGAAAATAGCTGTCCTTTCATAAACTGGTACTATTCTTTATAATAATGAGTGCATGCGTGCGGTAATAAATTAATCGAAAGAATCGGCCCACCCTTTATTTCTTATAATCACCTTATATCAAAGATGTTAGCGCAAATATTTTCCTCAAGTCCAAATTTCGTTCAAAATTACTTTCAAATTACCTTTAGTGGTAGAAAAAAAAAGTAGTAGATTATAGAATAGTAAAATGACATATAAAAACCTTTGAGTGCATGATTCTATTGAACATGTTTTTGACAAGAGATTAATTATTAGAATAGCAAATATTGAGATAATCGGTACACTCAATAATTTTCTCATAACTAGTTCTAGTCTCATCTCTATATATGAATTGGATGAAGATATTCAAAATATCAACTCAAAAATACATACTTAGTACATATACAATAGCTTCCATTCGTCCATGAATATTGTCAGCTATACAATTATATTGTCCAAAATCATCATTATTGTTCATCTATTGAAAAAAAAATTCAAAATACATATAATTATGCATAAGAAAATATATCTACTTGAATAATTAATTGATTTATTAACATTGTTTGATTTATTTGAATAATATTCATTTTATTATCTTCAATTATTTGTCCATTTTTTTCCCAATAAATACGAGCTAATGGACGACTTAATATTGAACATTCAAGTGTTACATTTTGATATAATTGACTTTGAATAAAATTTTTATTTATTATAACAATTGGTGGATCTAAATATATTTTTTTTTGTTTTTCTTTTCAATTATAGATATAAACTTACATTCAACACTTATTGTAAATATACGATTTGATGCTGGTAAAACACCATTATCAGCAATACATTCAACTGTATTTGGAAAATTATTATTAATCGATGGAATAAACCATATATTGCTATTATTAGGTGGTACTAAAAACAAAAAAAAAACAAATGTCAATACGACTCTATTGTTCTTTTGCCAAATACAATCACGATACATATATATATATATGTATTCTATTCTAATCAGCTTAGAAAATGTATGTGAATTTATGTAAAACAAAGATGATTGAGTACATACTCTCATTAATATGTCTACTTACATGAATCAATTCGATTCATATCAATATCACGAAAACGCCAACGTATATGAGGTAATGGTGTTCCTTCAGCACGACATAATAATGTTAATGATATACCACTACGTATTGATATTAATGGAGGATTTGGACGAAAATCAACAATACGTGGTGGAACTTTAAATAAAAAAAGAATTAATTCGAAAATTTTTGTTTTTGTTTATAAATACCTTGAACAGTAAGAAAAATTCGTTTTGTTTTTCTTGGTTCTGTATTTAATTGACATTGATATTCACCTTGATCATCTTCATTAACACGATCAATAATTAAATTATATGAACCAACATAATCAGATTCAAGACGATAATGATCTTTATTTGAATAGACAATTCCATCGAATGCAATTAATGTTAGTTGTTCTTCTTGTAATTGTCCATTTGTTTGATTCCCACCTAGATTTATACGATCGATTTTTTGCCATAGAACCTATATATTATATACAAATTCAATTATACTATTCATTATAGTCATGCAATGAAATCTACATTGATAATCATCTATACATTTATTGATTGACTACCATTGAAATTAAATATATATATATATACTATAGAAAGTTCAAAGACAATTCAAAAGTAAAATAGTTAAAAATTTTCAATAGAATTTTATATATATATACTTCGATTTCATATTTATAAATATATATGTAGTCTATCTAGCCTTGTAATTGAACTGTAATGTCTTTTTCACACACATTCATTCTATTCACATGAGAAATAGACACACAATCATCATCATCTTCCGGTTCGTCGCCATTCGCATATGGAAATTTTGAACTTGATTGTATGTCTCTTTCTCAATGCAATATATATGTGTGTGTGTGTGCACCAATGTAAATAATCGTTACAAATATCAAATTATCCATATCGAACCAAATATTCTTTCTCTCATATGTAAATAATTACTTTTTTTTTGCTACCGACCGATCACATCTCATACATATATATATTAACAGGTTGTGTTTGTTTTCGAAACATGATTTTCTTCGTTTGAACACTTGAAATCAAAGCGATAAAATTTAATCATCTCAGAATGAAAGTTCAAGAATAATAAATTTCTTTTCCTTTTCTTTTTTTTTTTGTTTTTTATGAAGACAGAAAAATATGTCTTATTTTGTTTATCTTTCGATTACTACATCAAAACTAAAGATTCTTATCATAAGATGAGAATGGGTGGGAATGATATCAATCTAAAATAACTATAGATCTATTGAATCAACAGATCATATTCCATATAGACATAAACAAAAAAAACTATACATATGATTAACTTACTTTAAATGAACGAACTTCAGCAACATAACAAGTTAATATACATTTTCCACTAACAGGTATTGTATAATTTTCAATTGTTGTATCAAAAGCAACAAGTGAACCAGCTAAATGAATAAGAATATATAATAATAACAACATAGCATTTGATCAATGTTGTTCGTATGATTTTCTTTATTCTGTCTTTTTTGGACAAGGTGTCAAATAAAATGGACAATCGTTCTCTCTCTCTCTCTTTCTTTCTTTCTCTTTTTCTTTCTGTTCAATGTATGCATACTTTTTCTTTTTTCTCTCTCATTCTCTTTTTCTTTTTCTTTTCCTACTTGATTATTCCAAAATATTGAACGTTTGTATGCATCTCAAATACAAAAAAATAAGAAAAAGAAATGCATTCATGTTCAAGCGAACGCCTGTTGCTAATTATCTCTGTTATTCCATGTTCACTGATCCTATTGAAATCAGCCTCAAGCAGAATCATATAAAAAAAAAAAAATGAATTGACCGACTAGTATATAGATGCTTGTCGGTTAATTGAAAGATGAGTGATGTTCGAACAAAATATAGATCGGGTGTGGTAGTTTTGAACATCGTAAGCATGAATGACCAAGGTCGTTACATATTAGAAACGCATGACTAATAATGATTATTCTTTTTAAAATCAAAAGTAACTAGTGAATTTCACCGACATTCGTTAAAAAAGGAAATTGTGTAGAGGAAATTTTCCAGACGAATTCTTTCCAATTTGATGTAATATCAATCATTAAACTTAAAAAATAAATCGAAACAAATGCTGATATATTTTAATGAATTTTTTTAAGAAATGTCGATTGATAATTGCTGTTCAATTAAATCGTTCATTTTCAATAATAAAAATGGCAAATTTATTATCTATTTGACAGTTATTATGAACAAAAAGACTATTTTATACTCAAGAGAATTTTATAACTAATCATTCTTTCTATTATGTATAAATATGGTACAATGAACAAAAATTTTCTATATATAATTTACCTATTAAAAAATAAAGACAAAGCTTGAAACAAGTTATATTCGTTAATTCTATTTTTAAGCTATTCCAAACGATACCCTAAAGGCAATAATGGATTATAGAATCGATTTATAAAAAACAGTTATTGAGAAAAGAATGTTGTATTACTGAGTTAATCTTTTATCTTCCTGCCGGCAAGTCTATTATTTGACATTCACAATTGATTGCTTCTCTTACTCATTATAGATGAATCATGATTTGAATAGAAAGAATTTCAGAAATCAAAAAATCTCTAATATCTATATATTATTGATTGTAGTCAAAATTATGCAACAAACAAAAAAAATTGAAATTTGATATTTTTGATAATTATCGTTTTTTTTGTCCTACAATAACAAAGAATTGCTTGAAGATCATTGGTGATACAACAGTGTCTTATGAACTTGGGCAAAATGTATGAAATACAGTATCAATGATGGTAATTATTACGTTTTCTTTTTCTTCTGGTAGTGATTGGATTTCATCCGATCTAGCAGCTCACACCCTTGGTTAAATAACAATTATGTCTATAAATTTTTTATTCTATACATTCAGAAAGAGAGAATCGAAAATTAATAATAACAATAGATTATTTAATAGATCTCTCCGATTAACATCTTTCTATTATTAGATGTAGTAAAAAAAAAATATTTTATATATAATCGATATTCTTTTGTCTAATATGACTTTTCTAGCTGTCTATTATATCTTTAGTTTAAAATGAAGCAAAAAACAGATAACAAATTTTTTTTTTTTTTTGTTAATTATTCACTCAAGTTAATTTCAATATCATTGAATCGACCTTTCAATCTTTCATTTTTTTTTCTTGTTGCTTGTCAAAAAAATAAATGAAATGGATGATGATATGTCCATTGCCTTAATGATGAAAAAGTAAGATCAAATGCATACATAAAAGATATATATTTGATGAAAGAGAAGAAAAAAAACGAACATCCAAAGATTTCAACGAATGATATATGGACGTTAAGAAAAAAAAAATTTTTTATTAGAAGCCTATTTATTAACTAAGCGAGGTACAGGATTCAAAAAAGCAATCTGTATATCTTATTTAGTTAATAGGAAAAAGTTTATAATAGTACGTGAAATTTTCGAAGCTAGGATAAGTAATTTTCATATTTATTTACGGCTATCCAATG